TTAAATAAAAGAATTGTTGCAAAATTTGTGGTTTTTTGCTTTAATAACAATTATCTCTTTTTTTTTTCAATTGCTGTCATTGTCACTGCGATCGTCGATTCCGGGCGATCAGGTAAGAGAGAAGAGCTAATTAATAATAATAATAATAATAATAATATAACAAAAGGTATAGTAATTTCGCGCGAATAAGAGTAAAATACGCGGGGCGGGGGAGGAGCAAGCGGAAACAAATGGACGTCCTTCTCTCATCAACTTTCAAATGAAATTATCAATTAGCTGATATTAGATTAGAATAAAAGAAAATAGATGAAGTAAGAAGAAGAAGAAATAGAATAAGAATAAGAATAAGAAGAAGAAGAAGAAGACGTCCTGCGGAGATAGACACGTTCATAGCACGAAAGGGGTTGATTGATTGATTGATTGGTTGATTTTTTTTTCCATTGTTTTAGTAATTCATGTGTAGTATTATAATTATCATATGTGTATATGAAAAACGTAAGTGTGATTTAAACGTGCGGTGTCCAAACAGAGAAAGGGCTTAGATAGAAAAAAAATAATTTGGCGAGTGGGGGTTTTATGGGCGCGGGGTTTTACGCGGGGTGGGCTGGGGGGGGTGTTAACCGAACGTATAGAACAAATAGAATGATAATTTATAATTAATGATATTGATGATGATGATGATGATTAAAAATAATATTAATAATAGAGTAGTTGTGTGTATGGAGTAATAATAATATTAATAATAATAATAATGTAAAATGTAATATATAATGTAATGTAATATAATATATATAGATCGTAGGTGTTATGGCAGGCGGGCAGCCCATCTCAGCAACCGCGGCATAGCAGCTAGCGTCTAAAAACGGACTAACGGGACGGTCGTGCGTGTGTATTTTTGTGTATTTGTGTGTGTAATATTATTTGTATAATAATTCATATTTTTAATTGATAATAATCGTGCAGCAATAAAATATCGTTCTGTCTGTCCATCTTGGAAAGATATATAATATATTATGGATTTTATTAATATAAAATATATTTAAACAAATGTATATATATATATAATAAACGATAAATTTTTTTAATAGTAACACTTTAGTTAGGTGTCAGACGTATCGTGTTTAATTTTGTAAATAGGTGATTCGTGTCTATTATATTTATGTGTGTACGTGTGTGTGTGTTTGTATGCGCGTGCGTTCGTTCAAAGTTAGGTGTGTTAAAGTGTTACACGTTATTGCGTATGGTTGGCTAAATAGTGAGATAAATGTCGTGTAAATTTTGGCGTATTACCGTCTTCTTCGGTGGTTTTCATTATTAAACTCGCACACGCGCGTGGTTGCATTAGAAAAGAAAAGTAGATTGTATGGGGGTTTAGAGGTCGTCGTTTATAAGATAAGTAGGTGAAATTAGTGTGATACATGAAGCGAGTTAAAAAGTTTCTTTTTTTTTTTTCTCTTTTTTTTAAGTCGGATTAGTGGTTTTCATCGTGCGGTATGTGTGATGAGTTTTACTCGAGTAAACAACGTGTCCCTTTTTTTAAAATTGAAACAAACGCGCGAGCACGAGCAACGTTTTCGCATCGTTGGACCATTTAAGTTGATGGTTCTAATCAAAAAGGAAAATGATTTCATATTAAAAGAACGTTTTCTTAGATACGTGTCTTATTTCTTCTCTCTCTTTTGCTCTTTTTTGTGATATTTCATAATTTTCTTTTTCACATTTCCAACCTTTCTACTTTTCTTTTCTTTTTTCCTTTTAACGAAGAACAACAACACGTTGGTTCGAACGTTTCTTTAGAATTTACGTGCCAACCAACGATAAATCTTGAATGGTATGTGACACACCGCCATTACGTGCATCAGATATTCTAATTAGTTCGGAGTATTCTCGTTATCCACGATTTTTCTTTTAACGATTAGCTTAACCCCAATCTTAGCTTTAACTAAGTCCACGAGTTTAAATATATAAACATAATTTACCTCGTGTAATTTTTATCCTTTCTATATTTCTCTTTATTATTTTATATTTTTCTTTTATTTATATATTATTAGAAATAAATTTTGTTTTTTTTTTTTTTTTTTTAATTTTTTTTCAAATTATTTTCCCTTCCGAAAGTCCATTAGTCGGTGTAATTATAGACGTATTGGACGAAAATAACCTTAGAACCTAACATTACGTATAACTATATCGTTCTCGTATCTAAAAGTTAGGTGGAGCAATAAGAAGAAGAAGTGAAAGAAGAAGAAGAAGAAGAAGAAGAAGAAGAAGAACCAGAGATGGTACCTTTCCATCGTCGTCGAGGTCCGGAAAATTTTATCGATGTTTAAGAGTGTAAACGGTCTTAATATTTGATGCTTTTCCGCTGGATTTCAGTTGGCCAACTTTCAGGCTCGTTTATTCAAAACTTTCTTACCACCAGTTCGATTCTCCCCAAACCACCTCTTTAACCTCCCCATTCCCTCCCCCCAACCTTCTCCACCCTGTTCTGTAGTACATCTTCCACGTTGAACATCTTTTTTGAAAGATTCCGTGGTATCGACGCCCGAGTTTATGGGACGACCTAAACTTTTGGCCCCGTTTTCAAATCGTACGAGTTAAAAAACAGTGAAAATAACTTGGCAATCATTTAAATCGTGATTCGTTACGATAAACTAAAAAATTAGATTTTTTTTTAAGATTGGAAAATATTATTGTTTTTGTTATCAACGTGATTAAATATTTACGAGATAGAACAACGTTTTCAAACTAATTTCTAATCACTTGTCATTAAAGTCAAACAACGTGGGCTGGTTTATTACTATGGTTGATTAAACCATATAGAAAAAAGAAAGATAAAAAGTATACGCGTTGTATTGACATCTTTAATAATATTGAATAAATGTGAGAAGGTATATTAATAAAGAAAGTTGATTATTCGAACTGTTAAAAATACATGATTCAATATTTACGTATAATTAAACGAATTATATATAAGATTACAATTTTTTCTCGGACAAAATTTTCTTTAAGAAATATATTTTATCGAATAGATTTCACGCCAACGAATATCGTTATTTAAAACAAATTCCTTTCAATATCGTTACACACATTTAATTAGATTTGAAAAAAAATTGAATATCAATTGTGGTATATATAACTATACATACAAAAATGATAGATAATATTTAATCAAATTATACATACAAATATATACTCTTTTCTTTTAATAAATTATTATATTTCAATATTTGATAATAAAATAAAACAAAACTCGCGTTGCTATTAGAAATAAATAAATAAATAAATATACATATATATATATATATGTGTAAAATTACGATTAATCGTTTAAAACAAAATTGATGAATTATTTCACGATAATAACAATCAATCTTTTGTATCGAAAGGTAGAATATCTAAATTGAATGAAACTAAAATGAGAACTAGAGACAAAGAGACTGAGAAAGTGGTGAGGGGGTAGTGGTGGAAGAGGGACAAGGTAGGAAGGAAGGATAGAAGAGAAGATTGTCTAGTTCTCATGTAATCGTATTAGACGATCGACGTTCGTAGATCAAGAGAAGTGTCTAGTTGTTAAAGACAACTACAACATCTAACGAAGGTCCTTCGTTTGATAAGGAAAAGCAGATCAAAGGAACAACACATACATACACATAGCTTCAGGAAATTCGACTACGTTCGTTTGCTTGTCGGCAAGCAAATTAATTTAATCGTTCGATTTGAAGTGCTCTTTCTCTCTTTGTCGATTATCGTATGACGCTTCGATGATCCGAAACGAATCAACGAGCCTTTCGATGTGTTCTCAAACCTTTAAGGTAAATTTCTTCCTTCCTTCATTCCTTCATTCCTTCATTCCTTGTTTCGTTGCTTTCTGTCTCGAATCTTATCTCGTTAAAAGATTTGAAACTACTGATACGAATATTATCATCAAACGTATAACGTTTCTTATTCTATGTTTACGGTAAACGTAAATGAACGTGTTAGTGTTCTCCTATACGATATTTTAATTAAATAAATCATATTATTTAAATATATGTTTTATACGTTTTTTTTTTGTTTTTCTATATATTTATAGTTTGATTATTTCAAATTTATAAAATACGATCGAAAGAATTCAAATTAATCGTCAATTTTTTTTAAATAAACCATATTTTTAAATATATGTTTTACGTTTTCTTTTTTTTTGTTTTCTATATATTCGTAGTTTGATTATTTCAAATTTATAAGATACGATCGAAAGAATTCAAATTAATCGTCAATTTTTTTTTAAATAAATCATATTTTTAAATATATGTTTTACGTTTTCTTTTTTTTTGATTCTATATATTCATAGTTTGATTATTTCAAATTTATAAAATACGATCGAAAGAATTCAAATTAATCGCCAATTTTTTTTTTTCCTTCTATTACAAAATCATCTCGTCCATTACATTTTTCTATTTTTTTTGTCGTATTATTGCGCGCGCGCGCGCGTGTGCGAGTGACACTTTTTCGGATAAAAAACATTTCTTGCGCGTGTGTATGTGGTTTTCTCTTTTTTTTTTTTTTAATCAACGCATCGGTTGCCTTGTATCAACGATTATCCGTCAAAACGTGTTTACGTAAGTATGAATTTTTGCGTTTGTGAGATTGAACACATGTGTATATATATGTGTGTACGTGTATCTGACTGACTGACTGACTGACTGTATGTGCGTGTGCGTGTATGTTTGTGATATCGAAGGTATAAAAAACACGGGCACTAATGTGTGATTGCACGGGCAAGAGACAGTATCAAAAAAAGGGCGGGTTAGGGCTTAAAAGTGGCAATGGGCGTGGGGTGACGGCCAGGGGGGGGGGTGTTTGGCGAAAATGGAATATCGTCGAAACGATTCGGAAATGATATATATATATATATATTTATATAAATATATATATAAATATATATATATAAATATAATATATTAATTAATCAATCGAATTCAGAGCGAATTTATGACTTTGAGTAAGACCTAGGGTAGTACCATTTTCACTTCGGATAGCGAGCTGATACTCAAGACGTACATGGTGACGCCCACCTCGACGGGAGGACCTGAAATCGAAGGTTAATCAGACTGAGTCGGCCGTCAAAGGGCCGTTAACGGTCTGTTTTACATACACTCGTACTGTCACACTAATATTTTTTT